CTAGTGCACAGAAATAAGTTCAAATTGACCCTGTGAAAATCCTGATGCAACCTCAATCATTTATATGCATTTATATGTGCACGCTACGTTCGTGTTCGCGCACGTCCACCTAGGCAGGCGATGTGTCCGGCTCCTCGGTGACGATGACGGCTTAAGGTTAAAAAATAATAATAAACAAATGTGAAAGTGGGGGGGAAACAAACGGGATTTTGAACAGTGGGGGGGGACATGTGGAAATTACACCCAGGATTTACATGACCAACAGCAGAGCTCGGGCTATAACGCAGACTTGTTTGACTTTTTTCACTTTGTTGTTCTCCTTTCCTCCGCTCTTGTCTCTGATTGTGAGTGTGTGCATTCGTATGTGTGTGTGGGGAGCGGAGCCCCGCCCTTCGGAAACAGAGCGGAGGACAGAATGTGAATGCGCAAAGCAATGCAGTGGACACTGAAACGTGCACATACATTGGATAAATAACAAATAACATGTTCAATGCGAAAAGTGACCGTAGATAGATTACTTGAGTTGCGATTTGGCGCCTGTTACAGCCGCCGTTTACCTTGTGCCGTTAACTCTGTTTTGTGGGTATATGTGAATGAGCTGTGCAGTTCATCAGCTGTTATTGGCCCTCGCAACATCCGCGGTGATTGGACTGACGTCATCTAATCCCCGCCCGCTTCTGCCACCTCACCCGGGGGAGGAGTACAAAGGTCGGGCAAGGACATCATTCGAGAGGCTCTGTATTGTGGGACAGACGCCTCAAGCCTCTCATTCTGTTATTGCCATATTCTGTGTCTCGTTAGACTGCCTAGCACTGTGTTGAGTAGAGTTCCTGTGGGTAGTACACTGATTAGCAGTGTGTCGTAGTGTTTTGTGTTTAGTATAGGGTGTGTGTGTGTATGGCTTAGACCCAGGTTAGCTTAGCGCCTGTAGATCAGCACTTGTATGAGTATTGGTTGGACCCAGGTGATTAGCACCTGTCGATCACCAGCAGCTGTGGTTTTTGCACAGCCCTTTCAATTACATGTACCACGTTAACGTGAGGTTTTTTTTTCCTTTTATTTAATTATTACTCTGTATGATCCGTTAGACTCCTTTTGAGTTCTCCTTTTGTTCAGTTAATGTCAACCGGTGCCCTTTTGGTCTTTTTGTTTGTTCAGGCTGCTTGCCTGCCATTTTTGTTCACCTTGCTTTATAATAAACACATTTAAGATTATTACCAATTCCAATCTGGTCGTGTCGCTTCCCTTTTGGTTCCCCTAGCCCAATAGGGAGCGTAACAGCGCCATATATATATATATATATATATATATATATATATATATATATATATATATATACAACATTTAAAATGTAATTAAAAATGAAAAAAACACCTTGAATTTCAGGGGGGGGCGCGGGGCTCCGTTGGGGTGGCGCAGCGCCCCCCCAAGACAATGGTAGGGGAAACACTGGCTGTATGAATAACATTTGATTGATTGGTAGGATAAGAACTGAATCCGCACCTAGCAGCATATTTATGTCCCTTCCCAACAAGACTGGCTTCTCAGGATTCCACTCTGAATGTCATTAAGTCATGGTAGAGAATAAACTAATTAGAAGCGATGATAACACTGGCCAGGATTGCAGCTTTTTATAATTTATTCCACCTTAAGAGGCCGTGCAGACAGTGTGCCTTTTGTTTTCTCCCTGTGCATTGATTGATGGAATTAAGAAGCATATTATTATGAATAACAGCAGCTGCTTGTATTAATTCAATGTTTTTCTTCGTCTGGACTCTCTGATTGCAGCCACCTCTTGGTAATTTATTCAAATGAAAACAATGTCTGTCACAACAGGACTGCCAGTATGTCTCTGTTTCCTCTCTGAGCTTTCAAGCATGAAATTAAAGTTGGAACAGTTTCAACGGAATTCCTTATAGGGTTTGTGACAATACAGTAAAATAAAGGTTTATTTTATACAGAAATGGTAGGTCCCTCTGTTGTTCATCAATATGTTACAGGTCTCAGATATATACAAAACATGTCTCTGAAGTGTTTGGGTCGAAACACCAAACAGATCATTGCAGCATTACCCATAATCCCCTCTGTTTCAGCCCTGTTTCCAAAGTGCTGATTCTCTGTCTGTTACTTTAGATGAAAATAAGGAGCCCCTCCCCACGCCCCTCTGAGAGAGATTTGGTTAAAAAGAACACAATGGTGCTCTAGGAGGAGATTCAGGTGATATGGTGGGGGGGGGGGGGGGGGGGGGGGGGTTACCTTGGTTGCTGATTGGCTAATGGTTACACAAGCCGAAACATTGTTATGACATCATAAAGTGGCCAAAATCTGATCAGCTCATTTTCAGACAGGTTTTTATAGAAATGGATAAAAAGAGAGAGAATCTTTGTTCCTGAAACTTTCAGAGTCTCTTTCCACAGAGGGGACACATGTTGATGTAGAAGAGACATGAAGAAGAGGGGACACATGTTGATGTAGAAGAGACATGAAGAAGAGGGGACACATGTTGATGTAGAAGAGACATGAAGGAGAGGGGACACATGTTGATGTAGAAGAGACATGAAGGAGAGGGGACACATGTTGATGTAGAAGAGACATGAAGAAGAGGGGACACATGTTGATGTAGAAGAGACATGAAGAAGAGGGGACACATGTTGATGTAGAAGAGACATGAAGAAGAGGGGACACATGTTGATGTAGAAGAGACATGAAGGAGAGGGGACACATGTTGATGTAGAAGAGACATGAAGAAGAGGGGACACATGTTGATGTAGAAGAGACATGAAGAAGAGGGGACACATGTTGATGTAGAAGAGACATGGAGAAGAGGGGACACATGTTGATGTAGAAGAGACATGAAGAAGAGGGGACACATGTTGATGTAGAAGAGACATGAAGAAGAGGGGGACACATGTTGATGTAGAAGAGACATGAAGAAGAGGGGACACATGTTGATGTAGAAGAGACATGAAGAAGAGGGGACACATGTTGATGTAGAAGAGACAAGAAGAAGAGGGGACACATGTTGATGTAGAAGAGACATGAAGAAGAGGGGACACATGTTGATGTAGAAGAGACATGAAGAAGAGGGGACACATGTTGATGTAGAAGAGACATGAAGAAGAGGGGACACATGTTGATGTAGAAGAGACATGAAGGAGAGGGGACACATGTTGATGTAGAAGAGACATGAAGGAGAGGGGGACACATGTTGATGTAGAAGAGACATGAAGAAGAGGGGACACATTTTGATGTAGAAGAGACATGAAGAAGAGGGGACACATGTTGATGTAGAAGAGACATGAAGGAGAGGGGACACATGTTGATGTAGAAGAGACATGGAGAAGAGGGGACACATGTTGATGTAGAAGAGACATGAAGAAGAGGGGACACATGTTGATGTAGAAGAGACATGAAGAAGAGGGGACACATGTTGATGTAGAAGAGACATGAAGAAGAGGGGACACATGTTGATGTAGAAGAGACATAGAAGAAGAGGGGACACATGTTGATGTAGAAGAGACATGAAGAAGAGGGGACACATGTTGATGTAGAAGAGACATGAAGAAGAGGGGACACATGCTGATGTAGAAGAGACATGAAGAAGAGGGGACACATGTTGATGTAGAAGAGACAAGAAGAAGAGGGGACACATGTTGATGTAGAAGAGACATGAAGAAGAGGGGACACATGTTGATGTAGAAGAGACAAGAAGAAGAGGGGACACATGTTGATGTAGAAGAGACATGAAGAAGAGGGGACACATGTTGATGTAGAAGAGACATGGAGAAGAGGGGACACATGTTGATGTAGAAGAGACAAGAAGAAGAGGGGACACATGTTGATGTAGAAGAGACATGAAGAAGAGGGGACACATGTTGATGTAGAAGAGACATGGAGAAGAGGGGACACATGTTGATGTAGAAGAGACAAGAAGAAGAGGGGACACATGTTGATGTAGAAGAGACATGGAGAAGAGGGGACACATGTTGATGTAGAAGAGACATGAAGAAGAGGGGGACACATGTTGATGTAGAGGAGACATGGAGAAGAGGGGACACATGTTGATGTAGAAGAGACATGGAGAAGAGGGGACACATGTTGATGTAGAAGAGACATGAAGAAGAGGGGACACATGTTGATGTAGAAGAGACATGAAGAAGAGGGGACACATGTTGATGTAGAAGAGACATGAAGAAGAGGGGACACATGTTGATGTAGAAGAGACATGAAGAAGAGGGGACACATGTTGATGTAGAAGAGACATGAAGAAGAGGGGAACATGTTGATGTAGAAGAGACATGAAGAAGAGGGGACACATGTTGATGTAGAAGAGACATGAAGAAGAGGGGACACATGTTGATGTAGAAGAGACATGAAGAAGAGGGGACACATGTTGATGTAGAAGAGACATGAAGAAGAGGGGGACACATGTTGATGTAGAAGAGACATGAAGAAGAGGGGACACATGTTGATGTAGAAGAGACATGAGAGAAGAGGGGACACATGTTGATGTAGAAGAGACATGAGAAGAGGGGACACATGTTGATGTAGAAGAGACATGAAGAAGAGGGGACACATGTTGATGTAGAAGAGACATGAAGAAGAGGGGACACATGTTGATGTAGAAGAGACATGAAGAAGAGGGGACACATGTTGATGTAGAAGAGACATGAAGAAGAGGGGACACATGTTGATGTAGAAGAGACATGAAGAAGAGGGGACACATGTTGATGTAGAAGAGACATGAAGAAGAGGGGACACATGTTTGATGTAGAAGAGACATGAAGAAGAGGGGACACATGTTGATGTAGAAGAGACATGAAGAAGAGGGGACACATGTTGATGTAGAAGAGACATGAAGAAGAGGGGACACGTGTTGATGTAGAAGAGACATGAAGAAGAGGGGACACATGTTGATTTAGAAGAGACATGAACAAGTGGATTTTGCATAATAGGTGACCTTTAAAATGAATGTAACCAATGTTTGTTTTCCTCTTAAGGTATGAGAAGATGATCAGTGGCATGTACCTGGGGGAGATAGTGAGGAATGTGCTCATTGATTTCACCTCAAAAGGCCTGCTGTTCAGAGGCAAGCTTTCTGAGCACCTCAAGACCCGCGGCATCTTCGAGACAAAGTTCCTGGCACAGATTGAGAGGTGAGTATTACAGACCAGACTGTGAACAGTTAAATCATACAATCAACCAAACAAAAACTGGGCTTCAGTGATGTGCCAAAGCTGCCAGATGAGATCAGTTTAGTCAAATATTCACGGTTGTTTGAGCTTGTAGGGGTTTTATTTATTTGGCCCTCAGTTTTATCAATTAAGCTTTTACCTCTCCTCTCCTCTCCCTCCTCTCTTCCCAAGCAAAGGCAAACAGACTTAGGAGAACCCAAATATGACCCTGATACTGGGCTGATACCGAGTCATAAAACCTACTCTCCTTCAGATAATACCAGGAGAAAAGTTGTCGCTAAGGGTCAGAAATCAAGAGGGATATCTGGGAGTCCATCTTATCAAGTGGATACCTCCCTGCTCGGGACAAAACTTGCATTATGTTGTCGTAGAATGTTTTAATATCCTCTTTGGATTAGTTAAAGATGGCATGGGTTTACATTAGGGGGTGTAATTGAACGGAACATTAAGTGACCTTCAACTTGGAGCGGACTATCACAGTGATCGGATGTTGCGTCCGCTCGCCGCGCTCAGCAGGTTAAAGTGCTTGGAAGGAAGCTGATTTATATATCTCTTTGCACATTATTGGGTTTTTGCCGATATAACATTTGCTGACATTATACTACTTGTTTTGGCCGAATCTAATGCCTATAGGTTCGCTATTAGTTTACTAGAAAAAATACTTTATCTTACTTAGTTGAGTCCAAGCAATGTCAAGACATGGAAGCACACACACAACCTTTGAAAACATCCCTTTTAGATATTTTTGTTAAATGTAGCTGCCGCTTTTATCCAGAGGCGCTTTAATTGCATTCTGGGGAAAAGGGAACTGTTAACCATTTCTCCATTCAGGATGCTCTTTGTAGGTGAAGGCGTGCAGCGTCCCGGTTAATGGACTGTATTTATGATACACCCTCCTACCTTTCCGGATACATAGTGCTTTTAAAACTCCACACGTCTCACACACGCAGAGTCTTGAGTGTCTTGCGCAAAGTTACTTCACTGCACCTTGGACAATAACATCTCAAGGAAAAAAGAAATAATTCAAATCAACTTTAAACAGTGTTTATTTGAAGCTTATGTGCCAGCACTGAAGTGTACTCTTTGAGTGTCTTCAATGGTTGGTTGGACTTATTGTAGGTTGCTCTTTCCACCACGTCATCACTCCACCACGCTTTCTGTTCTATAGTGTCTTTGTATTTTTCCCAATTCCCTTCAGTTGATTTTTGTTTGTGTGAAATGTTTTTTCTAAAGTTACTTTGCATGTCTAGAAAATCGCTATATAAATTAATCTATTGTTATTTTTATTATTATTATAACTATTACTTGGAACAAATTGTTATTATTTTCATTATTGTTATAATTATGTTGTATTATTATTTTGAGAGATAATATAAGAAGTACTTTATTGATCCCAATTTGGGAAATGTTTGCGTTGCAGCAGCATAAAAGACAAGGCAAGGCAATGTACGTCAGAGAAAATAAACAATGTCTAAAATAGTATTAAAAAGTAAAAAAATATACATGTGGAAATACAAATGTATATTAACCAAATATAATGCAGGATATTATATATACATCAATTGTGGATGGATGGATCAAATCGTCAGCTAGAAAACTAGAAAAGTAAAATAACTTTGAATTTGCCATTTATTACTGATGTTTACTATTAAAAGTGTTATTGCAGCTTTTACACTATCAACAGGAAAGCTCTGAATAATGCAAAAGAAAAGTTTGAATAAGTTTAGTTTAAGTGTTTTGAAGCAAGTCAATGTATGTTATCTTTCTCACGTGTGTAACCGTGGTATATAATAATAATAATTAGTATTCAATAGGGCTGCTAGAATGTAAACTAGCATGCTTTTTAATAATTATAACAGATTCAAGTTACATTTTAAAAATTACAATCCTGCTTTTTCAATCCTATAAATATATAAAAAATAATACTAATAATAATACAAATAATTATAATGAAATAGTAATGAAGTTAGTTTATAAATAATAATACAAAAATATTGTTATCATTACTATTATGTATTTATTATTATTATAAAAGTGTGATATTCTGAAAAAAACCACACAAAAAGAACTTTTAGCTGGAAAATGGTCAAATATAAGAATTACATTAGATCATCTTGAGATACCAGCAAGTCAATGTGTGTTATCTTTCTCTCCCGTGTCTAACCGTGACTCTCTGCCCCTCAGCGACCGCCTGGCGATGCGTCAGGTGCGCTCCATCCTGCAGCACCTGGGCCTCACCATCTCCACCTGTGACGACAGCGTGTTGGTGAAGGAGGTGTGCAGCGTGGTGTCCCGCAGGGCGGCGCAGCTCTGTGGCGCCGGGTTGGCCGCCGTGGTCGACAAGATCCGACAGAACCGCAACCTGAACCAGCTCTCCATCACCGTGGGAGTGGACGGCACGCTCTATAAGACCCACCCTCAGTAAGGAGCATGACTAAAGACTGAAGTTAAACTTTGAGGAGCATCACAAGTAGGGCTGGGCGATTTGAAGAATATCCAACATCACAATATCTTTTACCTAATACCTGATATTGTTGAGTTTACCATTCAAGGTGGAATTGGTGGAAAAAGCAACAGACACTGAAGGGCAAAAGTGTCTCCATTAAAGCCACCATTTCTATATCCAATGCCATTACAGCAGAAAAGGTGCCTTTCTAATATATCAGGGTTTTCTTTTAGAGCACTGTAGCACATTAATTCAAGGGAATGTGTGTGTGTGTGTGTGTGTGTGTGTGTGTGTGTGTGTGTGTGTGTGTGTTGTGTGTGTTGTGTGTGTGTGTGTGTGTGTGTGTGTGTGTGTGTGTGTGTGTGTGTGTGTGTGTGTGTGTGTGTGTGTGTGTGTGTGTGTGTGTGTTCTCTTACATAAGAATATAATCTGAGAGGCTCCCACTGCTTTCCGGTCCAAAGTGGTCTGTATGCTATTTTCCTTTTAAGCAAAGTAAGTAGGATGATTTCAGAATGTTAACAGAATATATATATATTTTTTAAAGGCTTACAAATGAATAGTAAGGAGAATAAATGTACATTCTGCATGGACTATAAAAAAACACGAGATTTTATATTGCAGACAAATAATAATAGTGCATCACATCAATGGTTGTTGGTTGTTTATAAAAATCTCTCCTTAGCATTCAAGCAGAATACATCAATAATGTTGTGTCTGTTTTTCCTTCAAATCTAAAAGAGTGGCAAATGTGACCCTGTGGAAAAAGGAAATAATGCTTCAAATGTAATGTTGCTTATCGTACCTCACAAACTGTGGAAAGAAATACCCCCCCCCCCCCCCCTTTGCAAGTGGCATTATGTAAATGATTGAATAGTTATCAAATACAAATAAGTATATTTAATTTGTTGCATTATTATCTGTGCGTGTTGTCCTCGGGAAAAGGATTTTAAACGTATTCTTTATTAGTTATTTTCTCACATTCCCTTAATCCCCATTAGTATTCCAATTTGGATGAACAGTTTCTTTGACAAGGGTTCACAACATGTAGAAGGTCTCAAATCCAAGAAATGTAACATGAGAATATGAAAAACAAAACGTATAGAAATCAAATCAAGGAAAGGATTTACTTTAAAGGGGACCTATCATGCAAAATGCACTTTTTGATGTCTTTTATACATCAATATGTGTCCCCGGTGTGTCAGGGAACTCACGCAGCGTCATAAAATAAAACCCTCTCTCTTTTCCTCCGTACCCAAATCTCTAAAAACGGGGGAACAGCGGAGCTGATCCAGATTTGAGTCCGATATGACGTCATATCTGAAATGTGGACCCACGGCCCAATCAGAAACGTTGCTATCAGAAACAATGCCCGACTGTTTTGGACGTAATATGGTCGGTGTTTACATTAGCATCGCTAACCCTCAGAGCTAACCTGTACTGGAGAGCATGTGTGTGAAGAAGCAGGAAGTAAAAAGGAACTCACCTTGTGGTATAACCGGCAAGAGAGAAAGCCTTTGAGCTCCAGACTGTTTCAGAGAGAACCCTTGATAATCCATGATATGGCGTTTCATCACGGCAGAATCTGCCGGTAGAATCTCCCGCATGAGCTCAGCCCCCTCCTTTTTGTTGTTATCAATTATTTTATCTGAGACCTATGCTATTGCCTAAAGATAGCAAGATAGGTGACCTTAATTTACTGTAACATAGAGCAGCCTTTACGAAATCCGATCCCCCCCCCTCAAGGGATGAATAGATGATTTCTTATTCTGATTTTTGTACCAAGTTTGCATTACATAATAGAGAGGGAGATGTTCTTGTACTGTAACTCTGGCTCATCTCTGATTATTTTCTTTCTCCTCTCTCATTAAAGTTTCTCCAGCATCATGCAGGAGACGCTGCAGGATCTGGCCCCTCAGTGTCAGGTGACCTTCCACAAGTCAGAGGATGGGAGTGGGAAGGGAGCGGCTCTGATCACCGCCGTGGCCTGCAGGGTGAAGAGCGCAGAGCAGCAATGAAACCTCAATCTACTCCAGAGTTTAGACCCGTCCTGCCGAAAGATTGACTTATTACATTCACATTATGTGCATGTCCGTTTTTAAGGTTTGTTACATATTTATGATGTGAGCTGACGTGGCTTGGCCCGCTTGGAAAATAACTTTAGAAAGGATTTATGTGTTATATATATCTGTGAAATATGACTGTTACAAGCTGTGGGCTCTGTTTCTATTTTTATTATCACACTCCCTAGTTGTGATGTTGCACCTTCAAGTGACCTTACCTTCAAGTGACTGACTATATGTTTGTAATCACTGTGAATGTATAGTCTTTGATCAAAGCAAGTTTTTGTTTTAAATTCACTTCCTACAGTTGCTAACATTCACTGTTTTCAATGTTATCAAATTACATGTCGTCTTCATATCAGGTTAATATTTAGAATACATTCTTGTGTAGAACGTGCACGAGTCTTGAAATGGAGATACGAAACCAACGTTTATTTTTGTATTAAAGTTTTTATTAGTGCCTATAGGTCTAATGACTGCAGCTGTTCTGATGCAATGAAGGAGTAACAAGTCGCCTGAGGGCAGGAGACGATGACATGTGTCATAGCTCTGACATCACGATTGTTAAGGAAACTCCAAAACGTTATTTTGACCTGTTTTGCAAACCTTCAGAAAAACATCTCTTATTCTGGTTGTTCTTGTAATTCTTGTTCTTCCTCCTCCAAATGTCGTGTTATTAATCAATAATGTATCAACTGTTACTTCATTATCAGAATAATGCTTAATATTATTTGAATGTTGCCATTGTCACACCATAATATATGCCCTCATTCCTCCTTAGTCAGATGTACCAACATTACAAATATTATACCTGTTATGGAAATAATTATCATAAGACGCCAATTAGTAACATACAGGACAAACCTTGATGTCTGTTTACCTTCTTTAAGGACACAGGCTGCTTAGCCAATAATGTTATTGTTCCCATTCTGTGACCGGTCAATACTGGGTCACCGATGGTCTGTGTTGTGGGTACACTGGGACACTTCCTTCTCTGTATTTGTGGACTCCAAGGTAAAATCTTCGAGGTCATAAGTGTCCGAGGCAAGTAGCTCAGTGTTCCCACACTGTTTAGGCTATCTCCTCAAATATGTTGTTTACTCTCTGCGAAACCAGTTAGATGGGCTGGCAAGAGAGAGGCTCTCCAGAATTGACTGGCAACTCTACCGTGGAGTCAGAACCTCTGACTCTTGGATTTGTGATGTGAATACTCTGGTACCAACTCCAAATAAATCACAGTGGTTTGACATCAAAGCTCCGACTCTTCCCGTGTCTCCTTCCTGAGTCGGTGACTCCACTGCTTGCTACACAGAAGTTTCCTCTACAATACCTAAATTCCCTTCTGGGGAAAGTTCATTCAAAAATCACTCTTGGGGTTGGAAGTGTGCGGAAATTCACAAGGTTAAAGGAAGGGATTCATTTACTTAGACTTGTTGTTATTTATGTATCTGTTTTGTGTTACATGTGGATGCTGTGTTGGACAAAGAAAGAAAATAACACTCCATGGCCGTGTCTGTTTGAGATTCAGACCCCAACCCCAACATCCAGTTGTATAATCATTATAATTTGTTTAAGGGTTACATTTCACATTACTGTAACCAATGGAAACATGTTTTAACCCGACTGAGTTCAAGATGATTGATTACTTTGACATTAAACGTTCTCTTAAACTGGACTCCTTGCTCCTTTAAAGAATAAATGGCAGTGCACCATAGACTGCATATATAAAGGCAGTTAACAAATGTATTTTTCTGCTATTTTCTCATCACACAAAGACTGTTGATAAAGTTGTGCTGTATTGAGTGAAGGTCGCTCTTTCTTCGCCACGATGCATTTAAAGAAATAATCGCTATGTGCAACTTTTCACTTTGTTGTTGTGCTTTCTCTGGTCAGTTCTTTCTCCTCCTCCATGCAGCACCTTGCAGTGCTGAACAACGGGGAGTACCATTTTTAATAATTATAGGGCCTTATTGCTCGCAGCTGAAGCATGTAAGTGAACTTATTAGCAGCATTACAGCATTATTTATAAACCTAACACAAAAAGTAAGGACATTTGTGTTTGGTAGATTATTTGCTGCTTCTTGGATATAAATCTTACACCGTTGGAAAGCCTGATTTCTTACCTTTCCAATGGTACCACATTTGTGAGGAACAAGCATTTGTGGGATGAGCCTCATCGCTGAGGATGTGGGGCCCATGAAAAATGTGACAAATCTCTTTATAATTATAAAGGAAAAGTAATGAATTTAGTTTATAAATAATAATAAAACACATTGTTACTATTATGTCTTTATTATTATTAAAGTGTGATATTCTGAACTGCAAAAACAAATATTTTTGCTTGAGAATTGTCAAATATAAGAATTACGTTCGATCGTCTTCAGATACCACAACAGTGAGTAAACCAGAGTTACATAAGTGTTTCATTTCTACTTGTGAAACTCTTACAGAGCCTCATCTATATTAGAAACCAGCGCCATGTGAGTGTGTGCCCTCCTGTGTTTACAGAGAATAACCAGGTCACCATCTGAAGCTGTAGAGAAGGACAAAAGGTAAAAGGGGGGATTATTTTGTATCCTTGTGTGTGTTATAAATGTTTTTTTTAAATGCCTTTCATTGTGTACTACTTGTTGTGCTCAGCAGTCCTTTAATTGACTGTTTCCAGCAGAGAGACTTTAAAGAACTACTTTCCCTTTCAGAAGTGCAAAATGTAAGACTAATAGAAAAATGCAATGTATTTCTTAGTGTTTTCCTCCCCCGCTGCCAGCAAACTAATTAACCTTTTGTAACACATTTAACAGTTGCTCCATTTGTATATCAACATAGAGAAGTTAAAGTAAGAAGTCTGCACATTGTACGACAAAATACACCAACAATGAATATGAAAGTATATGTATAATACACCCAATTTAAAGTATCGTAACGAAGCGGAAAACATACCACTGTTATTCTCACTCTGAGTTGCAGCTGTTTGTGGAAAGTGTGTATATTCTCACCCCAATGTTAGTTTGCTTATCAGACTCATCGCTCCACGGACACTCAATAGTTGGACTGGCAGATCCAAATTGAGATGTTTATATATTTAACTCATAACTAAACATATCTTACTTCTTACTTGCTACCCTTTTCCCTCAACCTATCCTAAGGGAGTCCATGTACGTAGAGTAGACACGTTAGTTTTGCTGCTAGTCTATAGGCTTAGTTTGTCGGGGGACACCTTACTTCTTCCTTCTCTCTGTCTGTACCTGTGTACTCTCATGTTCCGAATAACCCAGCATCCTGTTGCTGCGGTGTGTCCTGTAGTGCTGGGGGGAAACGATTATTTTGAAAACGATTAATCGGGCGATTATTTGATCGATTAGTCGACTAATCTAACGATTATTTTTCTGTTGTTCAATTCATAAAAAAAGTAATGTAAAAAAAACGTAATGTAAAACATTTTTTTTTCACGATACTGTGTCTCAGGGGATCTTAATATTTAAGAACCTATTAATGTGTTATACCAGATTAACGGAAATAATCTCAGCTAATTGACGATACAAACCATGTTTACCAAAACAAAACACAAGTCTCATAAGAAGCATCTAAATGACCCCTGAGCGAAAAATGCTAACGGACATTGGCACAGAACTCAAGATAAAAAGTACCCTTATTACTTATCGTAGCTGCACATACAATATATCCGATTAAAGCTGAGACTCCACAGATTATGTAGGTATATAGTATCATCACTGAGTGATCCGGACTCGCGACAGGGGAAGCAAATACAGTCATCACAACACGTACCTTCACAGAGCTTCTAGGGAGATCGTCTCACCACCGTAGCTGTCAATCTGATCAAAAGACGTGTTCAATGGCATTAAAATGAGAAAAAACGCGGCTGAATCGGTTAATCCATAGGTTTTTAACGTCTATGTATAAAAAAATGATTGAATTTATAATCCATAATTCCATTTTATGTAAAAAATCGGAGAGCAAATGCTAGCTGCTAATGGTAGCCACCACAGCTAGCTGCTGCTTCTGCTAGGCTATGCAGCAGTCTCAGTGAGATATAAATATATAAATATCTTTGCGTTTTGGACTAACTTTAAAATATTCCCATGCTTTTGAAGACCTAGGGCGAGATGTTTTCGTTTGGGGGCTTCGTGCGCAATCCTGTGAGGAGGAGGTGGTAGCCGTTTCAGTCTCCATTGTGTTTGAAGTGCGATTGCGAACTGCTTGTTGCTTTGGGTGACCCACGTGTGTGTAGCGACGCGTCGACGCGGAAATATGTCGTCGACGATATTTTGAAGTCGCTACAGCACTAGTGTCCTGGATCATGTATCCTGGATCCTGACTCCTGGATCCGGAGTCCTGGATCCGGAGTCCTGGACTCAGGGCCGGCGTCATGGGCGGGCCCCATGGGGCCGGGCCCGCCCATCCAGGATTTGGGCCCGCCCATGAGAAATCAGGGCTGATTAAAAAAAATTATATAAAAATATTTTTTAAATGTTTGTATTATTATGTTTATTGTTGTTATTTGTAGGGCTTTGTCATACTATTTATTTTTGTATTAAACTATATTGAAACATTAGTATAATATAATTTTTTTATTTTGCTATGAAATTCTGAATGAATCTCTGTGCGCGAGACTGGTTTTTCGCGGGGTTGAGTTGAGTTTTTTAAAGTGAGACTCGTCACAGCAGCCTGTCAGTTTACTGTGGCGGTTAGTTTGGCTAGGCTATTATCCTTTTTTATATGTATCGGCAACAATGGATATTAGGAAGTGGTTCACGAACAATAAGAGCTCACAAAAGGATTGTGGCACTGACAACTCAGCACCAGATGCTGGCAACTTGACGTGTCTCCCGCCACCTATTCCTTCTCCTCCACCAGGTCCCGAGTCAACATTGTCAGACGAAGCCTCTTCGGGGCCGGGCAGGAGCAGCAGTTCAACCTTTAGCAGCCCAGGCCCATCTCCCATTCTAAACGCTCGTGATCTTGGAGATTTTAGTTTTCTAGTTCCAGAGGACCTTGGCGTGGATACACCAAAACAGGTAGTCCTGGATAGTTTCCCCTCTCGGCTCTTCTCCGGGAAAAAAAGTAGTTTTGCCAGCTCATGGTACCAAAACCGACCCTGGCTTGAATACTCCGTAAAAGGCGATGCTGCGTACTGTTTCCCCTGCAGAAAGTTTAAGGCTCATCATCATGACGCATCGTTCACCATAAAAGACTTCAAAGACTGGAAGCATGCCTTACAAAAGGGCACGGGTCTTAGCAAACACAGCTCTTCCAAGGAACATTTAGTCTGTGAGAAATTGTGGAGAGAAAAACAAATGCGCATCGAGACTGGTCAGGAAATCACAACTCTTGTCAACAAAGATCAGCTGGCTCGTAACAAATATTACGTGGGCTCCATTATTGACATTGTGACTTTTCTCTCTACCAGCAATCTTCCTTTCCGAGGTGACCACGACTCTTTAGAGTGTATGTCCAAGTCTGGCAGTGGGTTATTTTTGTCATTGTTTGAGTATACCATCGAAAAGGACCCAGAACTCGCGAAAATTGCCCCCACCATTCCCAAAAATGCTTCCTACATAAGCCATGATATACAAAACGAAATAATTGACCTGATGAGCAAAGTTGTAACGGAGCATATTGTTGAGGAAATAGGCGACTCCTTTTACACTGTCAAAATGGATGGAACCCGAGAACCAACAGGCTGTGAAAACATTTCAATTGTACTGCGTTTTGTTGATGAGAACTATGTCATAAAAGAGAGGCTCTTGACAATCGCCACAGCAGTTGCAGGTGATGCAAAAACCCTCACACAGATACTCATTGATGAAATACGCAAAGCTGGCCTGAGCACAGACACAATTCTCAGCCAGGTATACGATGGAGCAAGTCTTATGTCGGGGAGACACGGTGGGGTTCAAAGACTCCTTCAAGATGAACTGGGCAGAGAAATCCCATATGTGCACTGCTTCAACCACCAGCTGCACTTGGTCGTTGTTCACGCCATGTCCGGTGAGAGAGCCATTGAGGATTTATTCAACATCTGTAATGTCCTCT